ATGTACTGCCACCAGCCGAGGTACGCGCACAGGGGCCTGGCCAAGCCGTGTGTTGGTGGTGATCACAGATCAAGCCAAGGGTCGCGAGCTCAGGCCAGGACGGACGTCGGCAAGTTGCGATTGCCAGGCAAGGAAAAGCCGCCGATCGCGATGCTCAAGACGCCTACTAAAGAGGAGAAGCAGCGCTGGTGGAGGTCGCTCAAGATGGACGACTTCGACGGGCCCATCCCCCAGGCGGACGAGCTCCTGGCGGCGGCGCGCGCTGACAGCCCTGGCGACTCGCCAAGGCCTGCGGCAGCGCAGCATACAGCGGGCCGCGCAGCTGGCGTGGCTGGCCCTGCGGGCGGAGCGGCTGCGGCGTCGACGAGTGCTTCGGCGTCCTCGGCCGCGGCGGCGGTGCAGCCCGTGGAGCGCGAGGGCGAGCAGGAGCTCTTCGTGCCCGCCCTGGAGGGCGTCCTCCGCGCGCACGGATTCGCGACGGCGGAGGACGCTCGCGCCCGAGGGCGCGAGGCAGCCCAGGCGCGCGGGGAGCGGGGCCGCGCGCGGGCGCTCGGCGCTGCGGCCCCGCGCGCGGCGAGGACGAGAGGCCCGCGCAGGTGAACGCCCCCTCCTCGGACGCCGCGGGGCCCGCCGCCGCCCCGCGCCGTTCGCGCGGGCGCGCGGCAGCGCCCGTGAATTCGTGGCATGACCACGCGGGTGTTCGCGCCCGCTCGAAGGGTAAAAAAAAACATGTCCTCACCGTATGGCAGTGGTGCGCATCGAAAAAATTATCCCGGCAAAGCAACCTAACAGCGATGTGTAGGAGCATATCTGGAAGCATTCCCCTTAAGATTCCGATGATAATCCAGTTGTCGAATTCTGCTGTTCTCGCAGTCGTAGTTGCATTCGCGATGGCAGTCGCAGTGGCAACGGCAGTCGCAGTCACAGCCAGCCTCAGCCTGCCTCAGCCTCAGCCTGCCTCAGCCTCAGCCTCAGCCTGCCTCAGCCTCAGCCTCAGCCTGCTTCAGCCTCAGCCTCAGTCTGCCTTCAGCCTCGGCCTCAGCCTCAGCCTGCCTCAGCCTCAGCCTGCATCAGCCTCAGCCTCAGCCTCAGCCTGCCTCAGCATCAGCCTGCCTCAGCCTCAGCCTCAGCCTGCCTCAGCCTCAGCCTCAGCCTGCTTCAGCCTCAGCCTCAGTCTGCCTTCAGCCTCGGCCTCAGCCTCAGCCTGCCTCAGCCTCAGCCTGCATCAGCCTCAGCCTCAGCCTCAGCCTGCCTCAGCCTCAGCCTCAGCCTGCCTCAGCATCAGCCTGCCTCAGCCTCAGCCTCAGCCTGCCTCAGCCTCAGCCTCAGCCTCAGCCTCAGTCTGCCTTCAGCCTGGCCTCAGCCTCAGCCTGCCTCAGCCTGCCTGCATCAGCCTCAGCCTCAGCCTCAGCCTCCTCAGCCTCAGCCTCAGCCTCAGCCTGCCTCAGCCTCAGCCTCAGCCTCAGCCTCAGCCTCCTCAGCCTCAGCCTCAGCCTCAGCCTAGCCTCAGCCTCAGCCTCAGCCTCAGCCTCAGCCTGCCTCAGCCTGAGCCTCAGCCTCAGCCTCAGCCTCATCAGCCTCAGCCTGCCTCAGCCTCAGCCTCAGCCTCAGCCTCAGCCTCAGCCTCAGCCTCAGCCTCAGCCTCAGCCTGCATCAGCCTCAGCCTCAGCCTCAGCCTGCCTCAGCATCAGCCTCAGCTCAGCCTCAGCCTCAGCCTCAGCCTCAGCCTCAGCCTCAGCCTCAGCCTTCAGCCTCAGCCTGCAGCCTCAGCCTCAGCCTAGCCTCAGCCTTCAGCCTCAGCCTCAGCCTCAGCCTCAGCCTCAGCCTGCAGCCTCAGCCTCAGTCTGCCTTCAGCCTCGGCCTCAGCCTCAGCCTGCCTCAGCCTCAGCCTGCATCAGCCTCAGCCTCAGCCTCAGCCTGCCTCAGCATCAGCCTGCCTCAGCCTCAGCCTGCCTCTGCCTCAGCCTCAGCCTGCTTCAGCCTCAGCCTCAGTCTGCCTTCAGCCTCGGCCTCAGCCTCAGCCTGCCTCAGCCTCAGCCTGCATCAGCCTCAGCCTCAGCCTCAGCCTGCCTCAGCATCAGCCTGCCTCAGCCTCAGCCTCAGCCTGCCTCAGCCTCAGCCTCAGCCTGCTTCAGCCTCAGCCTCAGTCTGCCTTCAGCCTCGGCCTCAGCCTCAGCCTGCCTCAGCCTCAGCCTGCATCAGCCTCAGCCTCAGCCTCAGCCTGCCTCAGCATCAGCCTGCCTCAGCCTCAGCCTCAGCCTGCCTCAGCCTCAGCCTCAGCCTGCTTCAGCCTCAGCCTCAGTCTGCCTTCAGCCTCGGCCTCAGCCTCAGCCTGCCTCAGCCTCAGCCTGCATCAGCCTCAGCCTCAGCCTCAGCCTGCCTCAGCATCAGCCTGCCTCAGCCTCAGCCTCAGCCTGCCTCAGCCTCAGCCTGCTTCAGCCTCAGCCTCAGTCTGCCTTCAGCCTCGGCCTCAGCCTCAGCCTGCCTCAGCCTCAGCCTGCTTCAGCCTCAGCATCAGCCTGCCTCAGCATTCAAAATGTGGCCCGGCAATGGAGTTCTGGGAACTCGAAGAACACGAAGTGGCCTACAGTTGGCTCCGGGCATTCAAAATCATGCCCAGGAATGGATTTCTGGGAGCTCGAAGACCACGAAGTGGCCTACAGTTGGCTCCGGGCATTGAAAATCATGCCCAGGAATGGAGTTCTGGGAACTCGAAGACTCGAAGAACACGAAGTGGCCTACAGTTGGCTCCGGGCATTCAAAATCATGCCCAGGAATGGAGTTCTGGGAACTCGAAGACCACGAAGTGCGTTACTGTTGGCTAAAAAAGGAGTCCCCGGATTCCCGCGGGAGTCCCCGGATTCCCGCGGCACCCGTCCGGCATCTGCCCAGACCCCCCTGGGGAGTCATGATGCTCTCTTTTGAGACCACTAGAAACCTATCAGTCTTCGCTGTTAGGTAAAAAACAACCTAAAACATAAAATTTTGGCGCTCCGCTCGGATTTCTTGGATCCGCGCCTGGGCCCCCCGGCGGCGCGGGGTCCAGCGCGAATCCAAGAAATCCACACGGAGGGCCAAAAGTTTAGGTTTATGGTTTTTTCTTCTTCTAGTGCACGCCCTCCTGGCATCGGCCAGGCGGGCGTCTACCTCATGCCAGGGCCCAGGCCGGCCCTGGCCAGCCACGGTGGTGGCGGCTAGATGCCTTCTGCGTAGAGCCCCATCTTGAAAGTGAGCCGCCCTCCGTTCGTGTACCTGTTGCACAATTGTTTCTTCAAGCGGCTTGCGCCATCCACCGACCTCCGGGTTGGGCCTCTTGGAGGGCTCTTGGGGGCGTCTGGAGGGCTTTTCTTCGGGGCTTCTTGAGGGCCCCTTGGGAGCGTGTTGGGAGCCTCTTGGGGCCTCCTGGGGACGCCTCGGGAGCCTCTGGGGGTCTCTTGGAGTCATCTTGGGGGGAAAGGCTCGAGATGTCAACTCGTGTTCCCCCTCTTGGGCCCCTCCTGGGGCCCTTGGCGCTCTTTTCGGCCGTCTTTGGGCCTTCTTCGGGGCGTCATGGGCCATCTTGGGATCTTTGGTTGGGGCCTCCGTCTTGGACACTGTCAAGATGAAACAGGCGAGTGTGCTACACATGTACGTGTTCCTCCGGGAATGGGGCGACATTTCCCTCTTGGGGCCCCTTCAGCGGTCCTCTGGGAGCACTTGTGGGCCCCTTTCGGGGCATCGTGGGCCGCCTTCAAGCCAGTTGGGATCGTCATGGAGCTATTCTGGGCCAGTTCGACGCTCTCATGGAGTATCTTGGCGGTGTGTTTTTGGCCCTCTTGGGCCGCCTTGGGGCTCTCCGGGGGCTTCCGAAGCCCCCGGAGAAGCGTTGACGACCTTATGCCCCCCCCCCCCCCCTCACATAGCATTTTAAAATCCCCTTGGGAGGGGGAAGGGGGAGGGGGACAGCCAATTGTCGCACACGCCTTGTCAGCCCCGGCACGCGGGGGTCGGGGGACTTGCGGTGATACGTATGGAGGAAGTCTCAGGCGAGAGCTAAAAGGAACCGCCTTCCACCCGGGCGCAAGAGGTGTTTTTGCGTGCGAGAGTTCGCGGCGCTAAGGCCAGACCATACGCCCCCCATCCATGCAGTTGTTGGAGCTCCAAGCTTCGGCTTAAACGTCGTGAGCGGTGAAGGAGTCTCGGGCGAAACACCCGGTCCGCCCTGACCGCACGTCTGGTGGTGCGACAGAGAGGAGCTGTCTAATGGAGTGATCGTTTTCGTATTCATTGTTTTGACGATTGGCGCGGGCCCTCGCAGCCCCCCCTCCCCCCCCCCATGGAGTAGATCTTTGCTGTTTTTGGCGCCTGTTTCAGGCAGGTGGGGTCTCCCCCATAGGACGCACTGCTGCAAACAGTCGCATCAAGCAGAGGTCCGGAGCCAGACCCCCCACCCTTCCGCCCAATGTCGAAACGCCGAAGAAGAAAACGCTCACTACAAGGACGAGGCATGTAGAAACGGCGGCGGATGAGTGCGAGGCGGGGAGAGTATCGAGCATCGAGCTTTTGCGCGCCCCTGTGCTCGTCTGGGCCTCCGCGAGCGCCCTCGCCGCCACGGCTGGCTCCTGCCGCCGTTGCCCGCCACCCGCCGTCGCCCTCGTCGCGGTTGTGGTCGTCGCCGTGGCCGCGGCCGCGGCCATGGCCGCCGTCGTCGTCGTCGTCGTCGTCGTCGTCGTCGTCGTCGTCGTCGTCGTCGTCGTCGTCGTCTTCGTCGTCGTCGTGGTGGCCGTGACCGTCGTCGTCGTGGCCGTTGTCGTCGTCGTCGCCGTCTTCGTCGTCGTCGTGGTGGCCGCGACCGTCGTCGCCGTCGCCGTCGTCGTCGTCGTCGTCGTCGTCGTCGTCGCCATCATCAGCATCATCATCATCATCACCACCACCAGCATCATCAACATCATTATCGTCGTCGTCCCCGTCGCCAGAGAGCGCTTGCGCTTGGCACCCCGTCGGCGCCACTCCGCCTCGAGGTACGACCCCCACCGCGCCCCGGCGTGGCTGGGGGGCTGGCGCGGCGCGGGCAAGGCGAAGCCTGACGCCGTGGCGATCCGCGCGGGCAGGGTGGGAGAGAAAAAGAAACGGCCCGGAGGCCACCAGGCGGGAAGGAGTTTCAGGATGGGGAGGAGTGTATGTATGCATGTATGTATGTATGTACATGCATGTATATGTATGTACATACATATATCAATCGGGCTACTGCTCATAATCACGCAGTAACGAGAATAATATAAATCCGATCAGCAAGTAGCAATGACATGTGGGCCAGCGTGAACCACAAACAGTGTGTTTCTGGCAACCTACGTTGTGCCAGCTCCGTAGTGCAATACCTGTTGTGGAACCCATGTGGTGCAATCTATGTGGTGCACTCTATATGGTGCAATCCATATTGGGCAACCCATGTTGTCCGCAAGCTATGTTGTGCAATCTACGTGGCGCAATCCATATTGTGCAATTCACCCTGCCGAACTTGAAGATGCCCACTCCACTGCTCGCGCAATCATCCCACCCACCCGTCCGCATCTTGGTTCGCAAAACCCGTGTGGCGGCGATTGCGATGACTGCTTGGCGCTGTCTGGCATATCGCGGCCGACGCTGCTGCGGTGGCGCTGACCGCTGGCGACGTCCCAGCGCGTCTCGCGGGCACTTCAGTGCGAGTCGGTGGCTCGGGCGGGCGCGGTATCGTGGCGACGTCGACAACGGCAGGCACGATGATGATTGTAGCGGTGCTTGTGACGACGATGACGATGACGACGGCAATCGGGGGCCCAAAAATATAACACCACCACAACCTCCCTCCCCCCTCCCTCTCACTGGAAAGAGGAAAGAGGACGAATCGACGTGGTGGTGTATATTCTTTGGGCCCCCAGGCAAGGCCAAAGACGGTGCCGATGCTGATCACGCCGGCGACGATGATGGTGTCCACGCGTCGATGATGAAGTTTGTGGAAAGATTTCGGCACGGGCGCTTGGCCGACGGGCGCGAGCGACCCGCGTGGTGTTGTGTGACGGGGGTCGGGCGCCCCCCAGCACGCGGTTGCGCACTCGAGAGGCCCATGTGGTCGCATGTCGTGACAGTTTCGGAAGACCACGTTTCCGCAACAATCAGTGACCGCGCGCGTGTTTCTGCAACAGTTGCAACACCGCTGTTATTCTCAGCGTCTGCTTTCGGGGCGCTCGATTTTGAATTCCTCTTGAAGCCTGGGATGTGCAAAGACTTCCAGCATGCGCGCGCGACGGCGCCCGCGTGCGGACGTGTTTTCGGTTGCAACGGATCTGGGACGACTGCGGATTTTTGATGAGCTCGCGCGCGCTTCGCATTACTTCCTAGGTGTGTGTGTGTGTATGTGTGTGTGTGTGTGGGGGGGGCGATACCAACCTCGCTGGGACGGTCAGAGGTCGTGTGCGCATTGCACGATGGGGCAGAAACGTATGTAAACTACACCTCCCCAGGGTGCACGGATACGTCCGGGAGGGGGGGGAACAGCACATTTTAATTCGTTTCTAGGATGGAAGCCAATGTTGCTTATTCAGGGTGTTGCAATCTATCTGGTGCAACCTATGTTGTGACATCAATGTGGTGCAGTCAATGTTGTCCAATATGACATATATATACTCATGCATATATACATGATGCAAATCGTGTGGTGGAATTCACGTACGACTTACATTGTGCACTGTATGTGGTGGACTTCGTTTGCGGCTAGACCCTCAGACCGCTTCCTTCTAGAACACCGACCAATGGGGAGGAAGAGGGTTCTACATAGTCCCGGAGCTGTAGATCTACATTTTTCATTCCGAATTATGTTTTTTGTGTGATGTGTAGAAGCACAGTTCGTTATGCCTATTTACACATGTCTTCTTCAAGTGCAGAATTCGCGTTTTGCTTCTACACATGTTTGTGTCATGTGTGACGAAAGTACGTTTTCTGATGTGTAGAGTTGGCACGCCGACATCAAAACACACAGATCCACGGATGTGTAGAACTTGGTTTCTGGTTTGAATCCCCACTAGTTTGAGGGCATGCAAACATCCAAACGGTGGAATCTTGGTTGTGTAATCCATGTGTTGCAATATATGCGGTGTAACTTGTGTTTTCCAGTCTTTGTGGTACTGAATCAATGGTGAAAACTATGCGGTGCAATCCATGTTGTCCATTCATGTTGTCCAATCTGTGAACTGGGGCGGCGACGGGGCGGCGGCGAGGTGGCGACGGCGACCACGGATCTGCCAGACCGCCTGACATGCCCAGACGAAGGACGGCGACGGGGCGGCGATTGGGCGACGACGGCGACCGGGCGGCGACTGGGCGACGCCGACGACCACGGAGCCGCCGGACCGCCACACGGGCCCAGGCGACAGGCGGCCACGAGGCGGCGACGCGGCGGCGACGGCGACCACAGAGCCGCCGGACCGCCGGACATGCCAAGCTTTTTTCATAACTGGTTTAACCAGTAACAGCCCCGAAGTGTAAACATTTTTTTGGAAATAATAGACAACAGTACGAATAATGCGAATGCTAGTCGCACGTCGATAATAACAAGAAGGAGGAGAAGGAGGAGCGAGAGGAGCGAAATGATCGAGGATTCTTAAATCTGCCTCCTGTCGTGGCCTCTTGGGTGGCCCTCGTGGACACTGTCGGTGTATTTCGAAAACATTTGCCAGGACGGGTCCCGTAGCCTGTGTTTTGGGTCCCGCGCAGGGAGGCGAATGCAACGCGCTTCGGATGATTTGTATGGGTCCACACGATTGTATGTGTTTTCGGCATTGCGTGCGCATCTGTAGATATAAGGACACTTCGAAACACAGCTGTTGGTCTGGCTGGGCGATACGCCAACGCCTTTCTCATTCGACGTTGTTCTTCCTCCTTGCGCTGGCCGTACCAGTCAGGAGTGAAGGGCCTCCTTCGGGACATTAGTTTCAGATCCGCAGGCACTTATTGGCTTGGCCCCCAAGACGACCGCCGAGATTCTTGCCCCTATTTCTCCCCTCCATTCCCTCATCCCCCCTCCTCCGCTCCTGCGTCCCTGTGTTGCTCCGTCCCTCTTTCTTTCCGTCTCTCCGTCCCTCCAGCTTTCCCTCCTCCCCCCTCCCCTCCTCCCTCCTTCGTCGTTCTTGCACCAGCCACGTGGCACTTTGCCCGTGGCAGCGGCGCGTTAGCTGCGCCCGTGACCTGGATATGGGTACCAGGCACGGGGTGTGTGCATTTGGTTGAGAGGCGGGGCCATGTGGTCCGTAAGTCCCTTGGGACCTTGTGCCCGCTCACACTGGGGTACAAACCCAGTTGCACATGCCATCCGATTCGGCAGAGGTGACGGTGGGGAAGTACTGCGCGGTGACGCGGTGAACCGGCTGTCCCCCTACGCACCACGCCGTCTCGGTTGGGCAGCGAGTCGCTGAGCGACGAGGTATCTGCCTTTCCCCTGACCGTCGGCGCTGGCGCCTGCGGGCCCCTTCCTCCTCTCTGGGAGGCCGAGTGTGACGGTTGAGCCTCGCTCGCCGCTCACTTCTTGGATCTACGACACTCATGACACTCCCTCCTTCGTTCCCTGTCGTTCCTCGTCCGTCCTCCCTTTGTTCCTTTCCTTCGCACGTGGAGGAGGAGGAGGAGGAGGAGGAGGAGGAGGAGGAGGAGGAGGAGGAGGAGGAGGAGGAGGAGGAGGAGGAGGAGGAGGAGGAGGAGGAGGAGCCTTTGCCGGCCCTGGCCCAGCCAGGCCGCGGCCGCGGCGCCCGACCTGGCCCCGCCGCCCCGGCCCCGCCGCCCCGGCCCCAGCCCTGGCGCCCCGGCCCCACTGCAGCCCCGACCCTGCAGGCCCAGGCGCCCCTGACCAGGCGTCCCAGCCCCGGCGCCCCGGCCTATCGGCCCCGGCCTCTCGGCCTGCAGCCCCGCCCCCCGCCCCAGCTTTGGGCATCGCTCGGACGTGTGCGTGTTCTCGGCGAGGACCACCGAGGAGACTTGTGGGTCACCTTGCGAGAAAAGAGGTGCACGACGCCGAAAACTGCATGGGGAATGGACGTCCGAACGATGGCGCGGGGCCCAGAAAAACATGTGCAGCACCCCCCCTTTTCCCTGGCAGAGCCACCCCGGCAACTCCCTCGGCAGAGCTGGAGCTGGGGCTGGATCATGTTGAAACTCACGCCTGAGCGGCGGGTTTTGTTAGGCCACATCGTGGTCTCCCCTCAGTCAGCGGGGGGCTGGGTCACTGCCTCGGCCCCCCAAATGGCCGAGACTTTGACAGACTGCGGCGCCGCCCACTCGTCGTCCTCCGCCCCGCTCACCAGCTCGTGGGCCACGCGGGCTGCATAGCACGCCGAAGCGCAGCGTGGGCGCTCTTGATAGGGAAGGCTTGCAATTGACCGCGGCGGGCGCAGCATTGCCTTCTATCCGAAGCAAGATGCGCCCACAAGACTCGACCGCACGCCTGCCCGTGCGCCGGATCACAGGACCCCGTCGGACTTGCCTCAGCCGCGAGATCTGGTCCTCATGTGCATCACGCATCTCCCTGACCCAGGGGAGCTCTGCAGAGCGGCGCATCGATCTCGGCCCTGGCCGACGCCAGGCCGCTGTCCGTCGCTGCCAGCGCCCGTCGTCGCGCGGCCGATCGTTCCGCACGTGACCATTGCTGCTGCATGCGCACCTCCAGGACTGCTGCACAGCAGCCCCGCTCGGGCCACCGTGCTCGTACCGACTGCCCGCCTTGCTTGAGGCCAGCGAGTTCGAGCCAGCTCGAGCCAAACTGCGCTGAGCCGAGACGGCCACAGTGGAGGAGGTGAAGGTTAAGGAGGAGAGGGATGCGGAGGGAGGAGGAGGAGGAGGAGGAGGAGGAGGAGGAGGAGGAGGACCAAGAGGAGGAGGAGGAGGAGGAGGAGGAGGAGGTGGGAGGAGGAGGAGGCGGAGGTTGCGGAGGAGGAGGAGGTGGCGGCGGAGGAGGATGAGGTGGAGGAGATGAAGGATAAGGAGATGAAGGATAAGGAGGAGAGGGATGCGAGGGAGGATGAGGAGGAGGAGGAGGAGGAGGAGGAGCAGGAGGAGGAGGAGAAGGAGGAGGAGGAGGGGGGGGGGAGGTGGAGGAGGAGAGGAGGAGGAGGAGGAGGAGGAGGAGGGGAGGAGGAGGAGGAGGTGGCAGGAGGAGGGAGGAGGAGGAGGAGGAGGAGGAGGAGGAGGGGTGGAGGAGGAGGAGGAGGAGGAGGCCTGGGCTCAGGCAGTCGCCGCCCCTGTCAGCCCCCCCCCCACGCCCCCAAAGGCGAGCGCCCTGAGCGCCTCGTGTGGTCGGGTCGTAGCCTCCCTCCGCGCAGGTGACCTCGCCCGTGCACGGCTTCGTCATGGAGGCCGCGTGGCGGTCCCGGGAGAGGGCGGAGGATTATGAGATGCTGACGGGACGGAGGAGGGGACGGACGGAGTACTTAGATGATAGGAGGGGACTGGCTGGGGAAGACAAAGGAGCGGAAGAGGGGAGGGAGGAAGAGGAGGATGAGGAGGAGGAGGAGGAGGAGGAGCAGGATTAGGGCGAGGAGGAGGAGGAAGACCAGGGAGGAGGGAGGAGGGAGGAGGGAGGGGGGGAGGAGAGAGGAGGGAAGAGAGAGGAGGGAGGAGGGAGGAGAGAAGAGGGGGGAGGAGGGAGGGGGGGGACGAGGAGGAGGGCCGGATGTTCCTTGGCAAATCGGCACGCTCCTTCTCAAGCAGAGGCGTCGCGCACACACCACCACCACGGCCTCTGCGCAGGTGACACCAAGCGGTTGCGAGAGCAGCAGCGAGGCTTCCGCAGTGCAAGGCCAACGAGCGCTCCGCCTTCTATTCCTCCTCCGCCCTCGAAGGAGGCGGGGACGGGGAGGAGGAGGATGGTGATGGTGATGGTGATGGCGACGATGATGATGCTGTTGATGATGATGCTGCTGCTGATGATGATGATGATGATGATGTTGACGCTGATGCTGATGATGATGCTGATGCTGATGATGATGAAGGTGATACGGATGATTATGATAGTGCTAATGCTGATGCTGATGGTGATGATACTGATGCCGATGATGATGCTGCTTCTACTGCTGCTGCTGGTTATGCTGATGAGGATGCGGATGATGATAATGATGATGACGATGATGATGATACTGATGATGATGATGATGGCGCTGATGATGAATATGATGATGACGATCTTGGTGATGATGATCATGATGATGAGGAGGAGTGATACGGATGAGGACGATTAGGATGATCATGATGATGCTCATGTTGATGATGATTATGCTGATGATGACGATGCTGATGATGATGATGATGATGATGATGATGATGATGAAGATGATGATGATGCTGGTTCTGCTGATGATGTTGATAATTAAGGCCCTGGCTCTCGTGATTATGCTGCTGACGTGCTGATGCTGATGCTGCTGCTGATGATGATGCTGATGGTGATGACGATGCTGATAATGACGATTGTGATGATGACGATGATGCTGCTGCTGCTGATGACGATGATGCTGTCGATGTGAATGCTGATGCTGAGGCACATGATGATGCTGATGATGATGATAATGATGAGGATGGTGCTCATGCTTATGATGATGTTGACGCTGATGCTGATGACGCTGATGCCGATGGTGTTGATGGTGATGATGATGCTGATTATGATGATGATGATGATGATGCTGATGATGACGATGCTGATGATGATGATGATGATGATGATGATGATGATGATGATGATGATGCTGGTTCTGCTGATGATGTTGATAATTAAGGCGGTGGTTCTCGTGATTATGCTGCTGACGTGCTGATGCTGATGCTGCTGCTGATGATGATGCTGATGGTGATGACGATGCTGATAATGACGATTGTGATGATGACGATGATGCTGCTGCTGATGACGATGATGATGATGCTGTCGATGTGAATGCTGATGCTGAGGCACATGATGATGCTGATGATGATGATAATGATGAGGATGGTGCTCATGCTTATGATGATGTTGACGCTGATGCTGATGACGCTGATGCCGATGGTGTTGATGGTGATGATGATGCTGATTATGATGATGATGATGATGATGATGATGCTGATGATGACGATGCTGATGATGATGATGATGATGCTGATGATGATGATGATGATGATGATGATGATGATGATGATGATTATGCGGATGATACTGATGATGCTGTTGCTGATGATGGTGAATTATTATTATTATGCTGATGATGCTGATGCTGATTCTGCTGCGGATGCTGATGATGGTGCTGCTGATGATGATGCTGATACTGAGGATGACGATTGTGACGATCAGGATGATGATTATTATTAGTATTCTGTTCATCATTACTATACTTATTGTTAGTGGTTGTTTGAAGTAGTCCTCTTATTACTATGATGCTGATGATGACGACGATGATGATGATGATGATGATGATGATGATGATGATGCTGATGATGATGATGACGATGATGATGGTGGTGATGACGATGATGAGATTGTGAGGAGAAGGAGGATGAGGAGGACGAGGAGGAGGAGAAGGAGGAGGAGGAGGAGGAGGAGGACCAGGGCGAGGAGGATGAGGCCGCAAGACGAGGACGAGTGGTAGGAGGGGTGCGGAGTGCACACTGCATACCCCGAAGCTGCCCATACACGAGCTCTGCACTGCGCGGTGTAGTTCAGGCCATCGCCCGCGTCGATCTCGCGACCCGGGGGCGAGATTGCGCATCGGGAGCCTGCGCGCACCGCTGTCGAAGGGCCAGCCTTTTGAGCAGGACGGGCCTGCCCGGGCTCTGGGCCTCCAGCGACCCTATCTGCCTGCCTCCAGTGCGGATCTATCAGCACTGGAGGTGTGACAGGGAGCCTGGTCAGGCCGTGTAGCAAGAGCCTGCTGAAGGAAGGGAAGCCAAGCCTGGATGGCCTTGCTAAGGGTAGTTGGCCAGGGCACTCAGCTAATGCGAAGGCTTTGAACGCAGCCAGAGCTAAGCTGAGCCGCCAAACCAACCACCTGCGCGCGCACCTCGGTGAACCGCGACCCCATCTGCGGCTCAAGCCCTCTGGTCGCGAGCTCGTGCCTCCCCCTGCTGGACCCAGATCTCCTCCGAAATGATCTCTTCTGAACCCGCGGCCTGCGGGGCTCTCGACGCCAGGGCTGGACCTAAACTTAAACGCTGTTTTGCTGGACTTCGGCCGTGTTCTGCTTCTCGCGGTGGCAGGGAGGTACGGGGAAACGGGTGGGGCAAAACGAAGCACAAAACGAAAACGGCACGAAAAACAACTCCTCGGATTGGACCGTGTTTGCGCGGAGCCAATGAAAAAGACGGAGGAAGGGAGCAGGAGCTAACAACTCCGCCTCCTCCTCCTCCTCCGTTTAGGTCCAGCCCTGCTCGACGCCTTCCCCATGGGCAGTTTTCCGGCCCGGCTCTCTTCTTGCTGGAGTCCTGGGGCCCGACGGCCGGCCCCCTGGAGGCCGAGCTCGAGGAGACGCGCCCGGATCGGCAGAGGTCAGATCGCTGGACACCTCCTCCTCCTCCTCCTCCTCCTCCTCCTCCTCTTCCTGCTCCTCCTCCTCCTCCCCCTCCTCCTCCTCCTCCCCCTCCTCCTCCTCCTCCTCCTCCTCCTCCTCCTCCTCCTCCTGATCCTCCTCCTCATCATTCTCCTCGTACCCGCCTCTTCCTCCCTCCTCCTCTCCTCTCCTCCTCCTTCTCTTCCTGCTCCTCCTCCTCCTCCTCCCCTCCTTCTCCTCTCCTTCTCCTCCTCCTCTCCTCCTCCTCCTACTCTCCTCTCCCTTCTCCTCCTCCTCCTGCTCCTTCCTCCTCCTCCTCCTTCTCCTCCCCTTCTCCTCTTCCTCCTACTCCTTCCTCCTCCTCCTCCTTCTCCTCCTCCCCGTCCCCCTGCTCCTCCTCCTCCTCATCCTCCTCCTCCTCATCATCATCATCAGCATCATCCCCTCCTCCTCCTCCTCCTCCTCCTCCTCCTCATCATCATCATCATCATCACTATCATCATCATTATCATCATTATCATCATCATCATTATCAATACCATTATCATTGTCATTATCATTACCATTATCATTATCAATATCAGTATCATTATCATTATCAGTATCGTTATCATTATCATTATGACTATCGTTACCATTATCATTATCATTAACATTACCAACATAAGTATCAGTATCATTATCAGTATCATTCTCAGTCTCATTGTCATTATCAATATCAAGATCATTCTCAGTATCTTTATCATTATCATTCTCATTACCATCATCATTCGCCTTAGCATTAGCATTAGCATTATCATTCGCATTAGCACCAGCATCAGCATTATCATTAGCATCAGCATCAGCATTAGCATTAGCTTTAGCACTATCATTAGCATTATGATTATCATTATCATTAACATTATCATCATCATTATCATCATCATCATCATCATCATCATCATCATCATCCTCATCCTCATCCTCCTCCCCCTCCTCCCCCTCCTCCTCCTTCTCCTCCTCCCCCTCCTCCTCCTCCTCCTCCTTCTCATCCTCCTCCTTCTCCTCCTTCTCTACCTCCTCCTGAGGTTGCCCCCTTCTTCTCCAGCCATACAACGGCCCTGCTGGCGCTGGGGAGCCACTGCCGCCCACTGGCCGCGCCGGCACCACCGCGCGGGGGCCCACCCGCAGCCCTGTAGGATGCAGCTCCTGGGAGGTGAACTGGTCCAATTCTGAATCGGCGCTGTTTAGTTCTCTGGTCGAAGACGGACCTAATCTGTCTTCATCCCGCTTCGCCCGGCTTGTTCCCGTTCCACCCGGCTTATAATTTTTTTGAATTTGGACTGAACCCGGGCTCACTCTTCTGCCCGATCCAGCTCCGTGGCCCCTTAATCGGGCCTCATAGCCTTTAAGCGTTCTGACGAAGACCACCCAGGAGTTGCCTCCCCAGACATCTGGCGTCCCGACTTTTTCGAGACACGGGCTGCCGACCTCTTCACTCTTGACCGCTAATTGTCCCAGGACAGGTTTTTCGTTCCGGATCGTCTTGTTGACGGTCCCGAGGCCCAGGTTAAGGGGCCCGAGAGGCCGCACGCGAGGAGCAACACGCATCCCGATTTTTCTGTTGGAGACGCGGGATGTCTGGGTCCGCATTTGGTTGACCCAAAATGGGGTCCAGATACAAGGGGGTGGTGCAATAGATTTGGTGTAGTAGATTTGTGGGTTGCAATCGGTTTGGGGCGTGCAATACAGCCTGGGACGCAAATGCATTGCTAGATTTTCGCGTGCAATACGTTCGTTGCAATAGAATACAAAACATATTTTCGGCCAGTGTGCGCCCGTGATCGCAACCACGCGGCCGCTTTGTGCGCCGGCTTGCACCGCGTGACTTGCAACGCTGCAGCGCGCGCACTTATTGATATGTTGACACCCGCACTTGTATATATATATAGAGAGAGAGAGAGAGAGAGAGAGAGAGAGAGAGAGAGATTGCACCACGAAGGTTGCATCGCATTCGCTGCAATGCATAGACTGCAAAACATAGTTTGCGCCGCTCTCGCACGCCGCAAAACGTAGATAGCACCCCGCGCATCGCACCAGTCACTTCCAACGCAAGGTTTGCACCGCATGGCTTGCACCACAGACATTGCACCACGTATATTGTACTACCTAAATTCTACTGGTCTGAAAAGGAATTTGGATTCGCCACCCTTCCGAGGTCGGACTTATCCCCCCCCCCTGGGGATGCGCAGATTACATGTGATTCTGCCCCATCGCTCATATAAAACATGAATGCGCATGACCCCAGCCAGACCGGCATCGACGGTCCCCATCATCCCTGGGAAAGAAAAGAACACAATGCGCGTACACTTGGATTTTACAATTTTTCTGCCCAAGAGTCCCTGGCAGCGAATGGGGCGAAGTGCGCGCGCGCGTCGTCGCGCGCGCGTGCCAGAATTTTTCAACAACTTGAGGTTCGCAGGGATTTCGAAATCTAGTGTCCAGGAAACAATGTGACAATGTGGAACCAACGGTCTGGCATCTGGAGTGTGTGTGTGTGTGTGTGTGTGAAAATCCAGCGCTTGCGCTCGTGCGAGTTTCTCTTGAAAAAAGGCATCCGTATTTCAGCAGGCTTTATCCAGTGCGACCAACCGTGCCCACCGCGCGCGCATGTCGAAATCATTCGAACGCCCTCGCGCGCGTGCTGTCGTAAGAATCCCTTGGACAAGCGTGGGGCGAAGTGCCCGCACGCGCGTCGTCGCGCGCGCATGTCAAAAACTTTCAAAATCGGTGGGTTTCGCGAGGATTTCAAAATCGAGCGCCCCGAACGCATATAAAAGCAATGGCTTCGCAACAAGAATTTTCAAAAAGCCTGTGTTCGCGCTCTTGTGAATTCCAAAGAGTTCAGTCGGTTTTCAAGTTTCTCACAACTTGCGACCAATCGTGCCCCTCGCGTGCGCGTCGGAATCATTCGAAAGTCCTTGCGTGTGCGTCGTCGCGGGAATCCCTTGGGCATGGATAGGACGGAGTGTGCGCGCGCGTCGTAGCGCGCGCATGCCAGATGTTTTTTATAATTGAGGCGCCGTAAGGATGTCGAAACCGAGCGCCCCGAACACATATAAAACAAATGGTTTTGCAACAGGAGGTTTCAAACAAAAGTTTGCGCTCTCGCTCTTGCGAATTGTAAATAAAACCGTCGGTTTTCAACATGCTCATCAAATGCAACCAATCGAGCCCCTCGCGCGCGCATGTCGAAATCATTCTTGCGCTCGTGGTGGTGGTGGTTGTGTGTGTGTGTGTGGTTGTGTGTGTGTGTACGTGTGTGTGTGTGTGTGCGTGTGTGCGTGTGTGTGTGTGTGTGTGTGTGTGCGTGTGTGTATGTGTGTGTTCGCGTGTGTATGTGTGTGTGTGTGTGTGTGTGTGCGGGGTGGGGCGGGGCGGGGGGGCGTCAAATAGCGCCATGCGGGCCATTCGCGCGCGTCGGCCGCGCGCGCGCCCGCGTTGAAATCCTTCCAGAACCCACCGGCGCGAGGACACCATCATGGTCATCGGCGTGATCAACCTCGGCGCCGTCATTGCCCTTGCCATCCTCAGTGCAAAACTCGTCGCCAGCATCGGTATTGTCATCATCGCGTCTGCCAGTGACAGGCGTCGACGTCGCCATGATACCGCGCCCGCCGAGCCACCGACTTGCACTGACGTGCCCAGGAGGAGGAGGAGGGGAAGTTCCCAGCGGTCAGCGCCACCGCGGCGGGGTCGGTCGCGCCAGCCTAGCCCGGCCCTCTGCGCGCGAGCCTGCGCGTGGTCGCGGGGCCGCAGCGACGCACCAGCCAGCGCCAAGCAGTCATCGCCATCGCCGCCGCCAGGGTTGTGCAAACCAAGTTGCGGGTCGGTGGGTGGGGTGTTCGCGCGAGCATGGGCGTTGGTCACGCGCGAGGCAGCCTAAGTTCATCGCACTCCATCGTTTGCACCCCGTATAAAATATATGCATGTATGTGTGTACGCATGCATGCATGCATGTATGTATGTGATTATTTGTGTATATATATATAGCACCATATGTCGTGCCCCAGAGCCTGCATCAGATAGCTTCCGCAACATAAGCCTTCATCTCAACAGGATGCGCTCTTGTTTCTCTCTTTCCCTCTCTCCCTCTTTCTATATCTGCCTCCATATCTGGTGTCCCTGTCACTCTTTCTCCCGTCTGTCTATTTTTTTTGTTTTTCTGTTTTTCTTTCTTTCTTTCTTTCTCTCTCTCTCTCTCTCTTTCGATATATATATATATATATATGTATATATATATACACATGTAATGCACCACGTACATTGCGCCATATGGATTCCCCCACATCGTTTGCACCACATGTGTTGCAACACGCATCTTGGCTCATGCACATCGTGCGCCGCCTCTTGCACATATTGGGTGCAAGCGTCCATTTTGTTGGCGTCCATTTTGGCGAACAGGTGTCATGGAAAAAGGTTGGAGGATGAGGGCCGCTCCGCAGTCATTTTGGTTCAAGGCATTTTTGTTGCAAGGTGCGAACGCAAGTGCGAAGCGCGTGCCCGCAGGAGCTCCCTGCATCCAGCCAAGATGATCCGCGCTGCCGCGTGCGCGTCTGCAGCGGCCCTGGTCTGTGCCAGCGCGGCCCCGTTGGCCGACGGCTACTCCAGCCTGGGCGCAAAACGCACAAGGTCCGTTGGCAGCGAAGACGTGCCAGAAGGGCATGGCAGCCAGAAAACGGGCACAGGTGGCGCCAGCAGCTTCGACTACAGCAAGTACGCGTCGGCGAGCCAGGGCAACCAGAATTCGGGCGCGGGCGGCGACAGCAGCTTCGACTACAGCAGCTACATGTCGTCGGCGGGCCAGGACAACCAGAAGAAAGGCACGGGCGGCGACATGAGCTTCGACTACAGCAAGTACATGTCGTCGGCGGGCCAGGGCAGCCAGAGGAAACGCGCGGGTAGCAACAACAGCTTCGACTACAGCAGGTACATGGCTGGGGGCAACGGCGCCAGCTCCGCCTTGGGCGGGGGCTCCGAGGCCAACTCCGCCCCCGCCGCCGCGGGCGTCCTGCTCGCCAGTGGCGGCGCTGGAGATTTCGCGAGCAAGTACGGCGGAGGCGACTGGCAGTCCTTCGCGCGGGGCGCCACGAGTGCCTCGGGCCCCAGCGGGGATGGCTTCGAGAATGACTTCGACTACTCGAACTTCTCGCGTGGCTTCGACTACTCGAACTTCTCGCGCGGTTTCATCCCCGCCCACGCCTGGAGCGAGGGCCGCTTCGATGCCGTGGAGCAGGCCCCGTTTTCCGCCAGCGACTGCCACGACATGACCTGCCTGAAGGCCTGGGAGAAGGCGCAGACGGCACAGGCGTCCAAGTACGGTAGCTACGCCCCCAAGATCGCCCAGGACGCCTGGAACTCCGACATCGAGAAGCAGTACAACGCCAGCAAGGCCCGCATCGAGGAGGAGATGCACAATGCCTCGGAGGTGGCCAACGCCTCGGAGGCCAACGCCTCGAAGGCCAGCGCCTCGCGCGCCGCGGCGCCCAAGGCTGGCACCTCGAAGAGTGCGGAGGCGCCCGAGGCGCGCAGCCGCGCCGCGGCGGCGCCCAGGGCTGGCGCCTCCGCGGGGGCGGCGGGCGCGGGCAGCCGGGCGGCGGCGAGGCGTGGCGCCAGCCACGAGGCGGGCGCCAGGCTGCCGGACGCGCCCGCGGGCGCCGCCGCGTCCGCCGCCGCTGGCAGCGCCTCCGTGCCCTCGAGGGCGGCGGGCGGCGCCGCCGCCGCGGGCGTCCTGCTCGCCAGCGCGGCCCCGTTGGCCGACGGCTACTCCAGCCTGGGCGCAAAACGCACACAGTCCGATGGCAGCGAAGACGTGCCAGAAGGGCATGGCAGCCAGAAAACGGGCACAGGTGGCGCCAGCAGCTTCGACTACAGCAAGTACGCGTCGGCGAGCCAGGGCAACAAGAATTCGGGCGCGGGCGGCGACAGCAGCTTCGACTACAGCAGCTACATGTCGTCGGCGGGCCAGGACAACCAGAAGAAAGGCGCGGGCGGCGACATGAGCTTCGACTACAGCAAGTACATGTCGTCGGCGGGCCAGGGCAGCCAGAGGAAACGCGCGGGTAGCAACAACAGCTTCGACTACAGCAGGTACATGGCTGGGGGCAACGGCGCCAGATCCGCCTTGGGCGGGGGCTCCGAGGCCAACTCCGCCCCCGCCGCCGCGGGCGTCCTGCTCGCCAGTGGCGGCGCTGGAGATTTCGCGAGCAAGTACGGCGGAGGCGACTGGCAGTCCTTCGCGCCGGGCGCCACGAGCGACTCGGGCCCCAGCGGGGATGGCTTCGAGGATGGCTTCGACTACTCGAACTTCTCGCGTGGCTTCGACTACTCGAACTTCTCGCGCGGTTTCATCCCCGCCCACGCCTGGAGCGAGGGCCGCTTCGATGCCGTGGAGCAGGCCCCGTATTCCGCCAGCGACTGCCACGACATGACCTGCCTGAAGGCCTGGGAGAAGGCGCAGACGACACAGGCGTCCAAGTACGGCAGCTACGCCCCCAAGATCGCCCAGGACGCCTGGAACGCCGACATCGAGAAGCAGTACAACGCCAGCAAGGCCCGCATCGAGGAGGAGATGCACAATGCCTCGGAGGTGGCCAACGCCTCGGAGGCCAACGCCTCGAAGGCCAGCGCCTCGCGCGCCGCGGCGCCCAAGGCTGGCACCTCGAAGAGTGCGGAGGCGCCCGAGGCGCGCAGCCGCGCCGCGGCGGCGCCCAGGGCTGGCGCCTCCGCGGGGGCGGCGGGCGCGGGCAGCCGGGCGGAGGCGGCGAGGCGTGGCGCCGCCGCCGCCGCGGGCGGCGCCTCCGCGTCGGGCGGCAGGGCGGCGGAGCCGCGGGCGAGCGGCGAGGCCACGGCCCCCGCCGAGAGGCTGGCCGCGGCGCCGGCGGGCGAGCAGGGCGGCGTCGGCCACGCCGGCTGGGTGGCGGCGGCCTCCGCGGCGGCCCTGGCCGCCGCGGCGGCGCGCGCGGTGCGCGGCCGCCGGCAGGGCGTGTCGGAGGAAGCCGCCGAGGGCGCCCTGTACCAGTCGCTGGTCTGAGGCGCACGGTGCTGCCCGAAGTGCCAGAGGAGGGCGAGCTGAGGCAGCAGAGGTTCGAGGCGTGAGGTGTTCGGACGTGTTCGTCGGTTCTCGGCGGCCTTCCAGCCTCGGGCTGTTCTCCGGCAGCTGCGCCTCGTCGAGAGCGTTAGCCGGGGGTGCCCGGGTCGTCCCGAGCGGCCGCCAGAGGTCCGAGTTGTGTCCCGAGAGCCAGACGAACGACGAACGTCAGAGGAGGGCGAGTCGAGACAACGGTAGTTGGCCTTCGGTGAACCCCCTCCTTGCCGCGGCTGGGCGCAGCTCGGCAATCTGGTGCGCTGGAACCCCCCCAGGAGGGGCCCAGGGGCCGCTTATGAGCTGCCGTTGTCTCAGCTCGCCCTGCTCCGAAAGTGTGCCCCTCCGCCAGGGCGTAGCACGACAGCCTGCTCGTCCTCGCGGCTAAGCTCTGGGGCTTAAGCCGCCGCCTCTCGCCTCACGCGTCGCACCGACCAGAGTTTTGCACTGCTGCCGCCAAGCAGCCTTTTCTTTTTCGAGTGGCCCATGCCGCGGTATCTCTTGACCAACTGGTGACGTCCGCCTCCTCTACCTCCCTCCTCGCCCCTCCTCGCCCTCCTTCCTCGGGGCTGGAAGTGGAAGCTTCCCGCCTCCTTGGGCACGCCAGGACTGGTTCACTGCGCGTGCGGGCAGCATACAGCGCATGCCCGAGTGCGTCACGCCCCGCTTGTGGGCGGGCGTGGCAAATATTTCGCGCGCGAGCAGCGAGGCCGAAATAGCCTCCCGCGCTTCTTTCCAGCCGCCAGCGAGTCGAGTTCTGCCTCACCAGTGCGAGTGCCGATGACAACTCCTGGCTTGACATCAATGGGCGATTGTTTATGCTCACGCATTTGTGGCCTGTGTGCTGTGGTGCGCTTGTTCTGCACGCGTGCGGTGCGATAGTCAAAACGTCGGTTTTGCCAGCCCTGGAGGGGTGTCCGACGGGTGCTGAGACCTGCAGGTGGACCTGACAGAGTGCCGAAGGCCTGGTCGATCGGGCAGGTAGCAGCGTCGCGAGTTACTCGCCCTCTCTGCCGCCGCGGGGAAACGAGGACAGCTCCTCCTCCTCCTCCTCGTCCTCCTCCTCCTCGTCCTCCTCCTCCGCCTTCTCCTTCATATGCTCCACCTCCTTCTTCATCAGCTCCACCTCATTTTTTTCTGCTGCTCCTCCTCCTCCTTTTCCTCCTCCTGATCTCCTGCTCCTCCTCCTTCCCATTCTTCGCCTCCTCCTCCTCCTCCTGCTCCACCTTCTCCTTCTCCACCTGCTCCTCCTCCTCCTCCTCCTCCTCCTCCTCATCCTCCTCCTCCTCCTCCTCCTCCTCCTCCTCCTCCTCCTGCCTCGGCCCGATCTCCGCGCGACGCCCCCACGTTCGGCCAGAGCGTGGTGTTCCGTCGTCGTCGGCCTCGGAGGGGCCCGCCGCGAGGGCACCCCGTCGGCTCCGAGGCCGGGCGGCTCCCGCGCGGGCACTCGTCCGCCGAGGAGCAGCGCCCCGCTCCCGGCCCGCCCCCACGGGGGAAGCACTCCAGGAGCGAAAGGACGTGCGCGTACGGTGCGGGCGTCCGTTCAGGAATGCGCCCAGGAGGAGGAGGAGGAGGAGGAGGAGGAGGAGGAGGAGGAGGAGGAGGAGGAGGAGGAGGAGGAGGAGGAGGAGGAGGAGGAGGAGGAGGAGGGAGGAGGAGGCGGAGGAGGAGGAGGAGGAGGGGAGGAGGAGGAGGGGAGGAGGAGGAGGAGGAGGAGGAGGAGGAGGAGGAGGAGGAGGAGGGCGAAGAGGAGGAGGAGGAGCAGGAGGAGGCGGAGGAGGAGGAGGAGGAGGAGGGGGAGAGGAGGAGGAGGAGGAGGAGGAGGAGGTTCCTTATCTGATGAGGTCGGCAGCGACATCCGTAGCCAATTCACGACTGGAGTTCCACTGGCTTCCAGACCTTCGATTCCTTATCCAATGGTGCCTTATCCAATGCCCTCACCTTGCACGAATCCACGTCGGTTTCGAGCGCACGCATTGCACGCACGTTTGCATCACGCGGCCGATCTCGCGGACTGGGGGGCCGTGTTCGTGGGATTACGGCCTCGGGCGCGCACGTTTCTGGTGGTCTCCCCGGGTGTCCTGGCCGCCGAGCTGGCCTCTGTTGCAGCTCAGCCCCCGCCAGCGAGGTCTAGGGTCCCTGGGCTGGCTGCAGCGGGGCTCGACTACGCGCAGAGTGGGGGGGAGGGGGAGGGGGGACGGCTTCTTGAAAAGAGGCTGCTTCTTAGAAGGTGCGGGCCTTCGGTATAGCGGTAAGGCCGGCGCCCTCCAAGAAGCAGCCTCCTTCTAAGAAGCCTTCCCCCCTCCCCCATACTCCCTTGTGCGCGCCGCCAAGTGTCGGGGTGCAGTCGAAGCCAGGCAGACTTGGTTGGACTTCGTTGGAAGTCCTGGCACTCAGAAATGTCTGGAGGTCCCCAGTAGCTGTGGAGGTGCCCCGAGGCTCCCCGATGCCTCCGTTTGCCGAGGGATGATCAGAACCGTTCAACGTCGGTGATCATCGAGCCTCGATCCTCCCCCTCTGCCTCCTCCTCCTCCTCCCCCTCCTGATCCTCCTCCTCATCCTGATCCTCCTCATCATTCTCCTCGTACCCTTCCTCCTAATCCTCCTCCTCGTCTTCCTCCTACACCTCCTTCTCCCCCCCTCCTCCTAATCCTCCTCCTCCTCCTCCTCCTCCTCCTCCTCCTCCTCCTAATCCTCCTCCTCCTCCTCCTCCTCCTCCTCCTAATCCTCCTAATCCTTCCTCCTCCTCCTTCCTCGTCCTCTTCCTCCTCCTCCTCCCCTCCTCTCCTCCTCCTCCTCTTCCTCCTTCCCCCCCTCCGCCTCCTCCTCCTCCTTCTTCTCCTCTGGGCTATCCGCTCCGCGGACGTTCTGAGCGGGGGAGCCTGCCCGAGCTGCGAGGGGTGCCGCCCGCAGTGGCGGCGCCGAGGCTCCCACGGCCCCCAGCCCCGCCGCCCCGCCGCCCGCTGCTGGGCTGGTCGACGTCGCCATGATACCGCGCCCGCCGAGCCATCGACTTGCACTGGTGTGCCCGCGCGTCACTGCGGCCCGCGAAACCCGGAGGAGGAGGAGGAGGAGGAGGAGGAGGAGGAGGAGGAGTGAGGAGGAGGGGGGGGGAGGAGGAGGAGGAGGAGGCGGAGGCGGAGGCGGAGCGGAAGGCGGAGGCGGAGGCGGAGGCGAGGCGGAGGCGGAGGCGGAGCGGAGGCGGAGGCGGAGGCGGAGGCGGATGGGGAGGCGAGGCGGAGGCGGCGGAGGCGGAGGCGGAGGCGTAGGCGGAGGCGGAGGCGGAGGCGGAGGCGGAGGAGGAGGCGGAGGCGGAGGCGGAGGCGGAGGCGGAGGGGGAGGGGGAGGGGGAGGGGGAGGGGGATGGGGGAGGGGGAGGGGGAGGGGGAGGGGGAGGGGGAAAGGGGGAGGGGGGGAGGGGGAGGGGAGGGGGAGGGGGAGGGGGAGGGGAGGGGGAGGGGGCAGGGGAGGGGGAGGGGGGAGGGGAGAGAGGAGGAGGAGGAGGAGAAGGAGGAGGAGGAGGAGGAGGAGGACGCCTTGACGCCTTGGCGACTTGACGCTGAGGACCTGCTTCAGTCCTGGTGCTCTCAGGAGGGGAAAAGCACAGATACAATCAATCGTCGATTCCCCCGAAAACATGGGAACACATGGGAAGCGAGGGGGGGGGGAGACGAGGCTCCAGCACGTAACGAAAAACATAGGGAATCCTGGGATCTGTGTCTATTCCCTTGTGGGTCCCTGGGCCCCTTCATGCTGTTTCCCTCGACCTCGGCCTCCGGGGGCCCTCTTCTCCGGGGGCCAGGGGCCCTCGCAGCTGGACCCACGACGGAGGCAGTGCCCTCCGGGGGAGGGGTCGGGACCTCTCGGGGCCGCGGGCGGCAGAGAGCACGCCGCCGGATGTCGGCGAAGGCCAGGCCGCGCCCCCGAGCCCTGGTCGACCCAAACGGGGGCCCAGCTGAAGGGGGGTGGCGCAATAGATTTGGGGCGTGCATGCAGTACGTTCCGCGGCGCAGACATTGCCGGATTTTCGCGTGCAGTGCACGCGTTGCAATGCAACGCAATTCACTCCGCCTCCGTGAGGGGCCAATCTTCCACCACCACTGCCACATGCAGGACGGGGGAGAAGGGAGGATGAGGAGTTCCTCCTCCTCCTCCTCCTCCTCCTCCTCCTCCTCCTCCTACCCATGGCCTATGGTAGCGGCGGTGGGAGATCGGCCCCTCACTCCGAAGAGGCCGCGGGAGAGGAGCGACGCAGGAGAGCGGGGCCGCCTGCGCCGAAGGGTCGCCCGCAAGCTGCCCGCGCAAGGTCGCGCGTCGGCGACTCTCGCTTCCAGTGCGGCGCGCCGCGCTCGCGGCCCGCGTGATGAAGCTGCCGCGCAGGGACCCGTTTTCGATCGTCGCCCGGATGCGCTTCGGCGACCCCCGAGCTCTTTCGAGGAACCTCGGCGTCGTCGACGTCGACGTCGACGTCGGCGTCGTCGGGCGTGCCCTCAGGTGCGGGTGGCCGAGATCGTCCCCTCGACAGAGTACGAGATGGGCTACACTCTCCGCTTCCCGCGGGCTGTCCAGCCGATCCGCGAGGACAAGGACAGTCTCGAGTCTAACCCCTCGTCGTCGTCGTCGTCGCCGCCGCCGCCGCCGCCGTCGTCGTCGTCGTCGTCGTCGTCGTCGTCGTCGTCGTCGTCGTCGTCAACATCAGCGTCATGAATCCTGATCAACTCCACCTTCTCCCCCTCTTTCTCCCTCTGCCTCCTCCTCATTGTCGTCGTCGTTGTGTTCGTCCTCATTGTCTGCTCTCCCTGCTACACAATCTGAGTACTGCTCTCCTCTCACCCTTAGTACTGTGCTGTGCGGCCGCTGCCTCGTTGGGGCTGCAATTTCAGGAGTGGCGCTTTGCTCCCGTCTCTCAGGTTTGCGCATTCGCCCCAGCTTAGGCCACAGCTTTGGATCTGACTCGCTCCTCCTCGTTGCCCCCCCTTTTTGCCCCCCCCCCCCCCCCCCCCCCCCCCCCTCTCCTGTCCCTCCTCCGCCTTCCATGGTTCTACTGCTTCTCGTACTTCGGCTGCCTCTGCACCTCTTCCTGCCCAACAGTCCTGCTGTCTCCTCTTCATGCAGTGAGGGCCCATGCCAAGGAACACCCTGCCTGCCTCCAGGGAGCGCTGGGTTTGTTGGGTTTCGATGGTTCTGCAATGGAAATCGTGACGCCCCCACATCACAAATCAATGGATGTCCTGGGGTCTCAGGGTTGGGTTTCTTGTGGAAGGTTTCTTGTGGTCGGGCCCCCACTGCATTCCTGCTCATCCGCCACTCCGTCTCCGCGCCCAATGTAAACAAGCACTCCCTGTCGGATTGCGCAGCACACAGTGGGGCCATTGTGATGACGATCACGGTCATCTTGGACACCCCATCAGCGCAATGGTCATCATGGATGTGTGGGATGTGGGAGTGGTGTGGTGTCAGATATGGCGCGCGGGCGCGTCTAGGGCGCGCCTAGCTTACCCTTCTCACTCTACTCCCCCTCCTCCCACTCCTCCTTGTCCGCCCTCTCCCTCTCCCCCTCCCTTCCCCGCCGCCTTCCCCCCCTCCCTCGCCTGTCCTCCCCTCCTCATCGGCCTCTTCTTGCTCCGCCGCCTCCTCCTTCTCCCTGTCTTACTCCTCCTCAGCCCTCCTCCTCTTCCTCCGCCCCTTTCTCCTCCTCCTCCTCCTCCTCCTCCCTCCTCCTCCTCCTCCTCCTCCTCCTCCTCCTCCTCCCCTCTCCTCACTCTTCATCCGCTGTCCTCCTTGCTGCTGCTCTTCATTCTGCTCAGTCCCCCCTTCCTGCTGCCTTGCGTGAGAGGCCGCGCCCTCTGGAGGGCCGCCTCGGGGGAGGGGGGGCGGGGTGGCCGGGGGGGGGGGCGCGCGAGTGTGTATTTGTGAGTGTGTGCCTCTGCACATATATGTCTATGCATACATATGTGTATATATCTATATATATATATACATATGTATGGCCATGCCTATATATGTATACATGTATGCATGTGTGCATGTATGCATATATGTATGTATGTGTGCATGCATGCATGCATGTATGCATGCATGGATGTATGTAGGTAGGTAGGTAGGTAGGTAGATAGGTCGGTAGGTAGGTAGGTAGATAGGTAGATTGGTAGATAGGTAGGTGGGTAGGTGGGTAGGTGGGTAGGTGGGTAGGTGGGTAGGTGGGTAGGTGGGTAGGTGGGTAGGTGGGTGGGTGGGTAGGTAGGTAGGTAGGTAGGTAGGTAGGTCGGTAGGTAGGTAGGTAGGTAGGTAGGTAGGTAGGTAGGTAGGTAGGTAGGTAGGTAGGTAGGTATGTGGGTATGTAGGTATGTAGGTATGCAGTTATGTAGGTATGTAGGTATGTAGGTATGTAGGTATGTAGGTGTGTAGGTATGTAGGTATATAGGTATGTAGGTATGTATGTATGTATGCATGCATGCATGCATGCATACATGCATGTATATGTATATGTATATCGGTATTTGTAAGTGTGTGTTTGTCTGTGTGTACGCGTTTGTGTGTCGGCAGAGTGTTAGTGGAGTGCAGCAGGAGGAGGGTTGGCATGGGGGACACTTGGGAGAGGCACGATGGGGGGAGGGAGAACGAAGGGGGAGGAGGGACGGAGTGGAGCAGGAAGAGGAGGAAGAGGAGGAGAAAGAGGATGAGGAGGAGGACGAGGAGGAGGAGGAGGAGGAGGAGGAGAGAGAAGGGGGAGAGGAGGAGGAGGCGAAGGGGGAGAGGAGGAGGAGGGGGAGGGAGAGGAGGATGAGGAGGGGATGAGTAGGAGGAGGAGGAGGAGGGAGAGAGAGGGGAGGAGGAGGAGGAGGAGGAGGGGGAGAAGGAGGTGAGGAGGTGTAGGAGTGGTAGGAGGAGGAGGAGGAGGAGGAGGAGGAGGAGGAGGAGGAGGGGGGATGTCGAGGATGAAGAGGAGGGGGACGAGGAGAATGATGAGGAGAAGGTCGGGGGCGAGCGGGGGAGAGGGATTATGAGGATGAAGGGGAGGTGATGGAGGTGAAGAGGAACATACATTGGACTGTCGATGATGGTGACGATGCTGCTACTGATGATGATGATGATGATGTTGCTGACGACGACGATGATGCTGCTGTTGATGATGCTGATGATGCTGATGATGCTGATGCTGATGATGGTGATGATGATGCTGATGAGGATGCTGATGGCGATGGTGCTGGTGATGCTGCTGATGATGATGGTGAGGATGCTTCTGCTGATGATGCTGATGCTGCCGCTGATGATGATCATACTGATCATGTTGATCATGCTGATCGTGCTGATCATCATGATGATACTGACAAGGATGAGGATGATGCTGATGATGATGATGCTGACGATGATCATGATGCTGATGCTTGTGAGGCTGATTCTGATGAAGCTGATGATGCTGAACCTGATTCTGATTGTTGTATCGCTGATGATGCTGATGGGCGATGTCGGATATAATGCTGCTTCTGCTGTTGCTGCTGATGCTGCTGATGGTGTTGAGGATGATGCCGATGATGACGATGCTGATCATACTCAGTGTCATGAGTGTGTTGATGATGAGGACGATAAGTATGATGATGCTGCTGCTGATGCTGATGATGATCATTGTGTCGATGATGATGCTGATGATGATGGTGGTGGTGATGATGATGCTGCGGATGTGGTGATGATTGGTGGTGGCGATGATGGTGATGATGAGGCGAATGCTGTTTTATATTGTTGTTGGGGTTGATGCTGTTGGTGTTGCTGTTGTTGATGATGATGATGATACTGATGTTGATGCTGCTAATGCTGATGATGCTGATGATGATCATGATGATGCTGATGATACTGTTGATGAGGATGATGATGAGGATGATGATGATGATGATGATGATGATGATGATGATGATGCTGATGATGATGATGATGATGATGATGATGATGATGATAATAATAATAATGATGTTGATGATGATGGTGAGCTAGGATTGTTCTGATGAGGTTGATGAGGAGGAGGAGGATGGGGATGATGATGAGGAGGACGAAGATGAGGACCAGGACGAGATGGAAGACGTGGAGGAGGCAGTGGTGCCGCTGGGCATACAACAAGCACGGCGTTGTCCTCGTCGTCCTCCTCGTTCTCCTTTTCGTCGTCGTCGGCGCCCTCCTCGCCCTCGCACGCAGCCGACTGCAGGCGGACGAGCGCCCGGCGCGCCAGCGACGGGCAAGTGCAGTGCATCGCTGTGCGCAGGCCTCCTCTTGCGCACCGTGGACCGGTGGCCCCGAAGGCGATCGTACTGGGCGAGCTCCTCTCCTTGGCATCGCTCGGACGTGTGCATTTTTCCTTCGGCGAGGGCCATCGAGGAGCATCCTTGATCATTTGGCGAAAAACCACGCACGAACCCGAACAAAAAACACAGGGAACGGACGTCCGAGCGATGGCCGGCCTCCGCCTCCCCCCTCCCCAGGCATCCAAGGTCTTGAGGGTTCCCTGCAGGCGTTTCGCTGGAGTGTGCTACTGCTGGTAGACCATCGGGGGCGGCAGAGGGTGGATACCATGGCGGGGGCCATGCTATCTCCCCAGATTTCGTGGCGCCCCTCCTTGCTTCAATACGTCCTGGGCCCCCGCTTGGGCCGCGCACATGCCGCCAGCCACACGATTTGCGACCCCCCCCCTTTTTGGACGCCTCCCTCTTGGACGCCCCCGAGGGAGGAGGAGTAGGAAGAGCAGGAGGAGGAGGAGGAGGAGGAGGAGGAGGAGGAGGAGGAGGAGGAGGAGGATGAACAGGAAGAGGAGGGCGCCCCCCCACCCCCCTGGGACGCATCCCCTTGGCCGCCCCCGGCACAAGGACCACAGAAGAGTCCCAGAGGGGGGACGGGGAGCCCCGGATCGCCCGGTCCAGCAGCCGTTTCGTCGGAGACTCCTCCTCACGACGCATGCAGGGTTCAGTCAGGCCTGTCCCTCTAGAGGGGGAATATTCAAACATAGTAAAACAATAGTGTGTGTGGACGATGCTTTGACTTTTTGGAGTGCTTTTGCACATTCTTCGATGTTCTATTTTGCCCCCCAAATCCGCCTGTACGGTGACATGCCCGACCTACATTCAGGGATCGTGCGCCTGAATGCCGCCTGGATTTTTTTGGTCCCGGCGGCCGCGATCCCTACACAATGATATATCGGGGGAGCGTAAGACCCGGGTTTGCCAGGACTCGGGTTCGCCATCGTTTTTTGACGACCGCGACTCGGATTTTGACGAGGAGGAGTTTTGTGGGATGTCTGCAGCGGGAGGCCTCGTCAAAGCCTCGTCGTTTTTTTGACGACCTCGTCGGGGATTTCCGAGTCCCCCGTACCCGGGTCTTACGTCTCCCCGAATATAGGCTAAGGGCGCACGTGACCGTGCTCTCACCCGTGTCCTGGCGGCATCTTTCCTGGGAGCCCATCGGAACACCTGTAGGAGTGCACGTTTTCACCAGCCGCCCTCCCGCTCCTCGACCCCGCCGCTTCGCCTCTGCTGCTGCTTTTGGGTGGCTCGCCAGGGCAGTTGCACGGCCCCGGGGCCCAGCGAGGGCTCCCAGAGGCCCACAACGACGAGAAGCCGCCGTCTCGATGATTGCGAGACGTTGTGTCCGGCGATGGCCCAGGTCATCGGGCCCGCCCGCCGCCTGCCCCGCCCCTCCCCCCAGGTAGCCTGACCTTGTCCGTTGCGCAGGTCCGAAGGGGATTCGCAGTCACGGTGCGCGCGGGCAGACGAGGGGCTGCCCGAAGCGAAAAGGCCAGGTTCACGGCCAGCGCCTTCCCCCCCCTCCTCCCCCCCCCCAGGATAGGCTGGGTTAGAAGCGAAGGATGAGAGGCGATCTCTTGGGTGTCTGGGTCTGCGCTGCGCAGGACTGGAACGACGCCTCCACGGAGCGCGACCTGCGGGAGTTCCTGGCCGGCGGCAATAGCGCCCTGCGGCTGCGCCGCGGGAAGGCCAAGGTAGAGGTGCACCCAGGGCACGGAATGGGGGGGAAGCGGCCCAGTTCAGACATTCCTCTAGGGCGGACTCCTCCACCTCCTCCTTCTCGTCCTCCTCCTGCTGCTCCTGCTCCTCCTCCTCCTCCTCTTCCTCCTCCACCTCCTCCTCCTCTGCCTCCTCCTCCTATTTCCTGTGCAAGTTTTCATTGAACGATCGACCTTCGGAAGCTGTTGTTTAGGTGCAAGCAGTTCGAGTTTCCGTTGGCGATTGCTAGAGTTGCTATCTGCATGTATTTGCAGAGCAGATGGTTCAGATTGGCGGGGTTCACGGATGGGCCCTTTGGGCCGCGAGGGGCATCATCGCGGGCTGCGGATTCGCCACTACTCTCATTCGAGTGTATGCCATCGGCTCTCTGGACCGTCTGGTGCTGCCGCGCCAGGTGCATTTCAAGCTGTACATTGACGATTCTGGATTGTCTGCCACGGGATCGACGTGGTACATTCTCGCCCTTCTCCCTCCTGCTGTGAGATCCTTGCACAGGATTCTCTCGGAGGATGTCGGCGCGATTGTATCTGACGATCCTGGTAAACGGTCCCTCATTGCTTCCTCTAAGCTGCTGGGGCAGAAGCTCGGCGCGCGCCTCGGGGGCTTGGCTGGCCCGCTTGTGCCTCGCGCAGCCAACGTAGGTGTTGACGATGCTGCAGGCAAGCCGCGCCGACGACAGGGCTAGTCCAGCAAAACCAAGTCCAGGGGAAAGACATCGAGGGCCCTTTGTGGGAGGCTCGCCCGCCTTCGCCCGATTGTCGGGAGCCGTGTGGCTCGGCGGGTTTTTGCTTCGGGATCCATGGCCAGCATCCTGCTTGGGGCCGGCATCCACGGGGTCACGGATTTCGAACTGTTGAATTTCCGTAGGCAGGCGGCTTCCGCGCTTCAGCCGTCGGCCAAGGGCCGATCTCTCACGTGTTTGCTCCTGGCTTGCCAGGAGCCGTGCTGGCTCGCGGCGGTGGCGCCGATTATCCGATGGGCCAAGGAAGTTTGGATTTCCCACCACGCGTTGTACACCTTAGGCGATGGTTAAGAAAACCCAAGTTTTCGGCCAGAGTCTCGATTATTCTTAATGTTTCCATGTAAATCCTAAGATTTCGATGGAAATTCTGGGCTTCTACTCAAGTTCTGAGACTATGAATTTCTGAACCCATGATTTCTTAAGCATTTCGCAGGGTGTATTCTTTTGCTGTTCCTCCGCCCGAGCTCAGAGAAGCTTGGGGGGCGGGGTTCCGTGGGGAGTCGGGCCTCTGGCAACACGTTTCGGGTCCCGCCTCTGCCTTGCGGAAATCGTGCGAGAGAATTTCTTGGTCCATGGACTCTTTTGCTGCAATTACGACAGACCAAGGTGATAAGATTGTGCTGACCTCAGTCTCGCCCCAGCTTCTCGAAACACTTTTAAAAACGGCTGTGATCAGGAGTTTGGAGTGGGACCTGGGGGCCAAACTTGGTTTGCCTGGGAGGGCTTGTGTTGATGGAGTTTTGCGTTGGCTCCAGAGCTCTCGGCTCACTCCCTTCCAAAAGGGCTGTGTGAAGGCCCTGTTTTGTAACGCCGTTTACACTAAGCAGCGCGCAGCTGACTTAGGGTATGTCCTCTCCTGTGTGCTGTGCCCGCTGTGCTTCGACGCTGCAGACACACTTAGGCATCGATTGTGGCAGTGCGCGGCTGTGAAGGCCGAGAGGGAGGACTTGGTTAAGGTCCAGGTGATGAGGTGGGCGGAGGAGGCGGACGACGCCATCGCGTGCTTCGGCGTCTTCTTGCACCCATCGGAGCTTTTCCCTCGGCCTTTGCAGTCGGGAGGTATTGATATTGAGTGGGTCAATAGGCCGAGTGTCGATGACACCCTGGGTAATGTTTTCTCAGGTGATGTTTTCACGGTCGGTTCTTCCAGTAAGAATATTGTTTCCGAGTTGGACAGGGCGGGTTGGGCCTTCTCCTTCTGGCAGGGTGACACAGGTCTCGAGATTGTGCGTGTCCGTGGGCCCGTTTGGCCGCCTAGCCCGCAGACTTCTCAGGCGGCCGAGTTCCACGCTTATTCCATAGCGCTGCAATGGTCTACTGGTCCGTGTGAGTTGTTTGTGGATTGCAAGGCCTGCGTAAACTTCCATGGTCTGCCGTGGGCCGAGCAGTGCTCACCCAAGCGTGCTTACGCTGGGGTCGCCCTGTTTTGCAGGTCTTTTGCAGGTCTTTCTCCCAGCAGTGCAGCGTGCACAAATTCAAGGCTCATCTTGACGTGGACGGGGCCGAAGATAGCTGGGAGCGCTACCTGCGCGAAGGTAACCACGCTGTGGAGCTCTCGGCCAAGAAGGCCCTGTTGTTGCATCCCCAGCCTGACGTGGAGCAGGTGGAAGATTTAGAGCGGCCTTTGGCTGTGGCAACAGCTGTGGGGTTCCTTGCTGCGAAGTTGATGCCGCTGTGGCCTCGCGTGGATCTCGGCCCGAGTGTGGAGCGGATCCCTGTACCAGCTCAGCGGAGCGAAGGGCTGGGTCCGAGACATGCTTGGGCTTGGACTGGCAGGTTTTGGCAGTGCGCGCGTTGTTTTCGTGGTTCGCGGTCGACCGACCAGCCAACCGCTGGCCTCTGTAAAGGAGGCCCAGGTGTCGGGATTCGTGGCGTGGATGCTCCAGCGTTCGCGAGTTTGGGGCACAGAATGCTGTTTCTCGACGCCAGCGACAGTAGTTTTGTTTTCATCTGTCTGCGGTGCAAGAACTACACTGGCGGTGGCCAAGTGCGTGGTTTGCGCCAGCAGTGTTCGCCCCTCCCCGCTGTCGGGGCTCAGGGTCGCCGATACGCTTGGAAGCTGATTCGTGCGGGGTCCCACCCAAAGAGGAGCGGAGTCACGGTCTCTGTGGGGCCCTGGTGCAAGGAGGAGGAGGAGGAGGTTCCCGCTCTCGGTTGAGCCTCCCCCCTCTCGGCCTCGGAGGTTGAGGATGCACTCGAGCTGCGCAGGGCAGCCGTGGCCCAGCGCTTGCTCGATGCCGCGAGCTCGAGCGCATTGCGGTCAAGCTCCATTTGATCGTGCTCGTTGCTGATGCGGTGCTGGCCAGGATACCTCTGGTTGGTGCTGTCGTTGGCTTGCCAATGCGCACGAGTACGGTTTTGATTTTGCCCCGAGGCTCTCGCCCCGCCTCGAGGTAGCTTGTGGGCTGCTGTTTGCGCTGCTGCAGAAAAACCTCCTCCTATTTCCAACCTTCACGCGTACCGGCTTCAAGATTGGAGGGCCCCTGCACCCCACCTGACTCATCAGGGTTTGTCCGGCCTTCGAGGGCAGTGGCAATTCTTTACAGTCCTCTTCCTCTTCCTCCTCCTCCTCCTCCTCCGCCTCCTCCTCCCCCCCTTCCTCCCTCCTCCTCCTCCTCCTCCTCGTCCTCCTCCTCCTCCTCCTCCTCCTCCTCCTCCTTTACAGTCCTCTTCCTCCTCCTCCTCCTCCTCCTCCTCCTCCTCCTCCTCCTCCTCCTCCTCCTCCTCCTCTCCCAGGGCTCGTGGAGGAGGAGCGAGGTCAGAGGGCTCGAGGGCTCCCTTTTTTGGGGGGGGGAGTTTCTGGGCCTCTTGGGCCTCCCCAGAGACACCTCCTCGCGCCACGGCCGGGTCCGCCTCGGAGAATTCCGGCCAGGGCGCGCACCATGGCGGTGCACCTCCGCCCTTCTCCTCCTCCTCCTCCTCCTCCTCCTTCCTATCCTCCTCCTCCTCCTCTCTCCGCCTCGCCTCCCTCCTCCTCCTCCCCTCCTCCTCCTCCTTCCTCCTCCTCCTCCTCCTCCTCCTCCTTCCCTCCCCCTCCCCCTCCCCGCCTCCTCCCCCCCCTCCCAGAGACTTCTCGTCGCGCCGCGGCTGGGTCCGCCTCGGAGTTCCAGCCAGGACGCACCCCATGACGGTGCCAGGGGTCGACTCCACGACCGTTTCGTTTTCACTTAGTTTTTCACTCGCCGTTTTGGGGTTTTGCGTTGGCAGAAATCCTCGCAAAAATACGCTGCAGCACGTCTGCAAGGTCGGTGCAGTGAGAAGTGCCCCTGGCCCAAGGTGTCCCGAGGATTCCCAAGGAGGCCCTCGCGGCCTCCGGAGCAACCCTCACGAGGCCCAGAGGGCCCCCGGGGGCTCCAGCATTGACCGGAAGACTGGGGGCACCCTGGGCCAGGGGTACCTTTCGCCCCCCCCGATCTGCTCTGAGAAGGGGCTGGGCACTTCTTCTGAGAGGCCCCCTCGCGCTCAGCTGGTTGCCTCCGTCGCCTCTCACCCTCGCGCGTCGCCGCCGATTCTGGCGCCCTCTCCGCGATAGGTGAAGAGCGAGGACAGCGACAGGGATGGCGACGGAGATGCTGCGGCGCAAACACCACGCAAGCGGGCCAGGGCTGTCTCCAGGAGCGCCCTTTGGCAAGGCGGGGGGGAGGAGGAGGAGGAGGAGGAGGAGGAGGAGGAGGAGGAGGAGGAGGGGGGGAGGAGAGGAGGAGGGAGGAGGAGAGAGAGGAGGAGGAGGGGGGAGGCGGAGGCGGAGGCGGCGGCGGCGGCGGCGGCGGCGGCGGCGGCGGCGGCGGCGGCGGCGGAGGAGGGGAGGAGGAGGAGGAGGAGGAGGAGGAGGAGGAGGAGGAGGAGGAGGAGGAGGAGAGGAGGAGAGGAGAAGGAGGAGGAGGGGGGTGGGTGAGACTGGGGAGCTGCCGGGGAGCGGGGGGAGGGGTGCCCCGGCTGGCCGGCGGGATCGGCCGAAGGCCACTGGGAATTTCTCGGAGGGGCCAGAAAGTGTTCGAACAATTGGGCACGCCAACCATTAAGTCGGGCCTGTCCCCCTACAGGAGGAATATTCAAACATAGTCAAAAAGTACGCAGGGGATAATTTTTGCTATTATTTTTGACTATGCGTGTTTTTGTTTTGTTGTTATTCTATATTTGTCCTCCAACATCCGCCTGTAGGAGGACATGCCCGACCTAAGCCAAGCACTCTTCGCAAGCAAAAGGGTGCGGCGGATCTATTGGCCTTCGGCCCATTCGGGCGAGGCATGTTTGGGTCTCTTGGAGGCCTCTGTTGGACCTCTTGGGGGCCTCTTCGAGACCTCTTGGGGCTCGGGGCCTCCTGGCGACTTCTGGGAGCCTCATCGGGGCCTGGTGGCGATCTTGGGGGCCATCTTGGGGTATCGGGGGGAGTGGGTCTTTCGTGCTCCCCCCTTTGGGGCATCTTGGGCCGCCTTGGGCGGGCCTCGGGGGCCGTCCCTTGGCCGTCTTGGGGCTCTCCTGGGGGCCGTCTTGGACGCCCTGAAAGAAACACCGAGACCGTACGCGCAAGTAATGCAATCATCTATTTTTGTCAATGACTTTGACCTGGTGGGTCAGCCCCCAGGGCCTCTAAGTTGGCCCGAGAGGCCTTGGAGCCGCCGAGGGTTACTAAGCAGTTCTGGGCGTTTCCTGGAAGACTCTGAGGTAACCAGTAGTTCTGGCGAGTTCGTGGCCCGGCACTTACCAATCTGGCATTTCCTTCAACATTCGCATCTGTATGGGCCTCGGGGCACTCCGCTACGTGCTGAAAGCACGGTGTGGGATTCATATGCATGCTAGCCAGCGTGGGCCCAAACAGTGCGTTTTTTTTATTAGAGTTGAAAGCTATGCGGTGTATGCCATGTTTCGAAAGCTATGCCGTGCAAGCTATGTGGTCTGAGCAACGGAGATGGAAACTATGCGATGTAAGCTATGTGGTGAAAGCTGTGTCGTGTACGATGTGATCGGGAGGTGGCAGCTATGGAGTGTAAGGTACGTGATGTAAGTTATGCTGTGTAAGCTGTGAGGTGCTTGCTGTGAGGTGCTTGCTATGCAGTGTAAGCTATGTGTTGTAAGTTATGTGGTGAACGCTATGTCGTGTAAGCTCAGAACCTGGGGCGCCCACGAGGCGCCCACGAGGCGGAACGGGCGGCAACGTTGCGCAACCTCGGGATACCCAGCACACGGGGCGCCTACGATGCGGCACGGGTGGCTTTCGTGGCGCAAACTCGGAAAACCCACCCATCGCACGGGGCGCCCACGATGCGGCACGGGCCCGCAACTTGACGAAACCCAGGGAACCCATCCAGTTCTTTAAAGTAAATCCAGTAAGAGCTCCTAAGTGCAAGCGCTGCTTTGTGAAAGAGGGTATATGAGGAAAAACGGGAGGATGAGGAGGAGGAGGAGGAGAAGGAGGAGGGGGGGGTGCGGATGAGGTTGCATGTATGCATGCATGCATGTATGCATGTATGCATCATGCATGCATGCAGGTAGGTCGGTCGGTAGGTAGGTAGGTAGATATTTATGCATGTATGTATGCATGCATATGTGCATGTTTAGATGTATACATGCACGTATGTATGCATACACATGTATATATATATATATATATATATATATATATATATATATATATCCCTCTTCCTATACTGTTACAAGTCTCGGGGGGGGGGAACCCGTCCCCCCCCTCCCCCAAAAACCGGACTCCCGGGATCTGGGGCTTTGGGACCCTCCGGACGGGCCTCGGAACGCCCCCCCGGGCCTCGCAAGGCGTTTTGCCAAGCCTTCCCAGCACACCTGGGGCGATCAGGGGAGTCATCGGAGACGTCCCAGAGACCCCCAAGACAGCACAAGAGAGTTCCAAGAGTGACCGACGTGACCTCAAGATGGCCCAAAAGGCCTCCAGGACGGCCCCAAAGAGGCCTCCAAGAGCACCCCCAAGAAGGCCCCAAGAGGCACAAATCTTTGATTTTCTGTTGGTTTTTGCTGAATTTTGGGGTTCTCCTCTTTTCGGCTTCCCGACGCTCCAAGACGGCGGTCTTCTGGGCGTCCGAAGCCGCCTGGGAGGCTCCAACATCGCCCCACAACCATCCGAAAGGGCTTCCAGGCAGTCCAAGAGAGCCCCAAAACGGCACAACACGGGTCCAAGATGGCCCTCAGAGAGCCCCATGGCAGCCCAAGATGGCCCCAAGACACCCTCCGAAGCATTCCAAATCGTGACCCGGTCGTTCAGGGAGACCGCGGTTGGAGGCAGGGTGGCCCGAGGAAGTCCCCAGAGGCCCCGAGAATACGCCAGGAGGCCTCCAGAAGGCCTTGAGAAAGCCTGAAACAACTTTTGTGAGGCCCCCAGAGGCTCTCCAAGGAGGAGCCTCCGCAAAAAAGAGCTGAGGAGGATGGGGAGAATGCGCAGGGTACGGCGAAAACAAGGAAAAGTAAGCATGGAGGAAGGATAACGAATAACATTATTATAGCGGCGATGCCGGAAAAGGCAACAAGGAGTTATCTCTAAACTGTCGGCTTGACCTTCCTGCTATTCCGCCTGCATACCAAACTTCAAGGACCAAGGTGCATGGCGCGAAGCGCCACTGCAGTCTTGTATATATATATATATATATATATATATGTACGTATGTATGTATTCCTATTTATATATTTTTACAGGGCCGGGGACCCCACAAAAGCGGCACACGGTGCCCCCCCCCCCCAAACAAATTTCGGCCTCCCCGAGCCTCTGGGGCGCTCCTGCAGTGTGCTTCCGTGGATCTCCGGTCCTCCTGGACCCCCAGGCAGGTCTGTCCTGCGAGTCCGACGCGAAAAAAGAAGCCCCCACGACGGCCAAAGAGGGCCCCGAGACGCCCAAAGATCGGCCCAAGACGCCCAATATGGGCCCAAGACTGCCCAACAGGCCTCCAAGACGCCCCAAGAGACCCCCAAGAGGCCTCCCAAGAGAGCCCCGAGAGGCTGAAATGGTTGATTTTCCTATGTGTTTTTCTATGTTTTTGGCCTTCTCGCTTTTTCCGCTTCCCCACGCTCCAACACGGCCCAAGAGGCTCCCTAGATCGCCCCAGCACTGCCCAAGAGGCCCCTAAGAAGGCCCCAACACGGTCCAGGAGGGCTCCGAGACCGCCCAAGAGGCGCCCAAGGCGGCCCAAGAGAGCACCAAGACGGCCCCAAGAGAGGCCCAAGAGGGCGCCCAAAATTCAAAATTGAGTTTTCCGCCGCGAGAGGGCCCCGAGAGGCCCCAAGAGGGCCCCATGAGGCCCCAAGAGGCTCCCCAGAGGCCCCAAGGAGCCCCCAAGAGGTCCCCAAGAGGCCCCAAAAAGATCCCAAGAGGCCCACAAACAGCCCCCAAGAGGCTTCAAAACTGCCTCCCAGAGGCCCCCGAGAGGCGTACCACGAGTTCCCAACACGGCGGCCTCCTCCTCTCATCATCCCTTCTCTTTGTCGTCGCCTTCGTCGTCGTCGTCGTCGTCGTTGTCCTCGTCCCCATCCTCTTCCT